ACTATACTGTACACCTAAACCTGATATAATATTATGTGTCAACTATACTTCAATTTAAAAAAAGGGAATCCTAATTCTAGAATGAAATGGCTCATTTAGATATGATAGTTCACAATAATTGTAAGGTAGTCATCCACGTCTATGACTATTAGCCTTCTTAATAATGTGAACATGTGTATGCACACATCATGAAAATGAAAGTTCATGGAGTTCAGTGAACAAGAATCATCAGCAATAAGTATAAGACAGGAAGACTATCGATGGCATTAAAAGGAAAGGCACCTGATGTTGATTATGTCCCAGGACACTATCGATGATTCAGTACAAAATTCTGGTAGCTTTCACACTAAAACATTAAGTTATAAATTCAGCTCTGCTTGAAAGGAGCATTCATTCACTTATGCATTTCTTTGTGATCTCAATATTTTAACCTCTATTACAGAATTTAACCTATTATATTCTAACTTCTTAGAACTTACATTCTGTGTCTCAATTTATAATGTGGCTCTTCATGAACAAGGGGCACAACTTTTCTTTTCACTCTTTTGCCCTCAGCAACTAGCAAGTGGATACTCAGTAAATGTTGTTGAGTAAAATAAGTTAATGGTTGTTACCTGACTTCTACACATCAGAGAATAAAAGAGGATCTATGAAACAAATACAGCTTTAAAGATTAAAATTTAATAGAGGGCTAAATAAAAGGCTAGAGCTGTGTAGTTTTAGCCAAATCAACGAGATTCAGCATTTGACCCTGTTCAACATCTACAAATTGAGCTAACCTGTAGAAAGACTGCACACAGAATGTGGCTGCGATACACATTTCCCAGGCCCAAATAGTGTTGATTCATTCACCATAGTTTGTTTGCAAGTGAAGGAAACAGGCTTTTAAGTTAGAGAAATATAAGCAGTCTTAGATCTGGGAGTCATCAGGAAATGTTTGATATTATAAAGAACTGACTGAAAGTTAAACAGGTTAATGTGACATTTCAAAGGGATTTTGAAATTCAATAGCTTTCTCTAGCAGCTGATGTTTATTCTCTGGTTGTAAGGCAAATGTTGAATTTCTTCAAAGGAACAATGATAGATTCTAGGATAACTAGATAGGTTCAACGTTCACCACAGGTTTTGCTTTCTTTCTTCTCTGTGACCCCTCCCCACCATGAGAAATATATTTATATGTACGTAACAGAAAATGGAAAACCATCTGGCTGGCTCTAAAACATGGTTTTCTTCTTCATCACAAAAGGGTTTCTGTGTGAAAATACATTTATAGATAAAGAAGTAAATATGGTGTCATTAAAAAGAGAAAAGCAGAATTATAAAGAATATATGTAAATTTGGGAAGAGGACATATTCGTTTTTTCCCTTACCATATCAGAACTGTGCAGAAATGTAAGATGCTTTCTATCACTTAAATGAAAGTTCCATGGCTTGGACATATTTAAAGTTAGTTAGAAAGACTAATAACAAAGGCATGTGACATCTAGTTAGATAAGTTTGAGGACTTATTTTATTGCTTAGAAACTAGATATGCATTGTACAATTGTGTATGTAAAATAACTTCATCAGTGTTCATTAATATCATGAAGGTCACATTTAAGTGAATCAGTAAATAAGGAAATTTAAAGAACATATTTTAAGGAATTATTAAACATTCAGGTAAAATAATTCTTAAAAATAATCTATTCTAAACCTATACTGGTTTAATCATAAGTAACAGAAATTCAACCTGAAGTGATTTCCTTAAAAAAAAAAAAAAAGGCGATAGGAGGAGGGAAGGAGTATAGTGGCTTACAGAGTCTAAGAATGGGTAACACAGCAAATTCATGGAAAAGGCATGGATACAGCTGGGCTTCCAGAACAACTGAGATCTGGAATGAGAATGCTCCCAGGAGTAGTTCTCCAACTCCTATCTTTTTATTGTCTCTGCAAGTTACAGTCACTCTTTTTTACATGGTGGGAATGTATGCTCCTAAGAGTTCTTCAGTTTTACATCATCTTTCATATATTGAAGAGGGATCAAGATATTTCTTTTTCACATTAAATCAAACAGTTTTAAGAAAAGAATACATTATTGGTCTAGATTAAATCAATCACTTGTAGCTAGGATTAATCTAGTCTGCCTTAGAATCTTCCCCTGGACCAATCAATTGTGAACAGAGTGGAGCAAGAGATTTGGGGAGGAGGAGTGGTCATGGAATAACATGACAGATTGCAAAGAAGCCATGTAGATGAGAGTCAGCTCTAGAAGAGGTGGAGGATATGATGGAATGTCTCATGAAAATTCTGTTGTTTTATAGGTAAATAAGCAAAGAGATGAATTGATTTGTTGTAGCTTATATGACAAACTAGCAAAACAGCCAGAACTCAATAAATGAAAATAAAAAAAAGATAAATATTGATTGCTTTGGCCATAAACTGATTGTTATGTGTATATATTTATGCTTAATGCAATCACCTTATAAAATAGGTATTAGCATCATCATTTTTCAGATGAGAAAACTGAGGTCCAATGATAAAGTAAATTTTCTAAGGCTATTCTGCTACTTGGTGTCATAGCCCAGATTTACACAAAGGTCTGTCAGATTCCAAAACCTGTGCTCTTTAAAAATAATAATACTGGGGCGCCTGGGTGGCTTAGTTGGTTAAGCATCCGACTTTCGCTTAGGTCATGATCTCGCGGTTCGTGGGTTCGAGCCCCGCGTCGGGCTCTGTGCTGACTGCCAGCTCAGAGCCTGGAGGCTGTTTCAGAGTCTGTGTCTCCCTCTCTCTCTGACCCTGCCCTGCTCACGCTGTCTCTCTCTCTCTGTCTCTCTCCTAGAAATAAATAAAACATTAAAAAAAAAAATTGTTAAAAATAATAATACTAACAATGAGATTGTTTTTACAAAGCGTGTAAGTGCTCATTATAAACAGTCACATTGTGCTATGTTTAACACAGAATGAATAAACACCCCACATTCCTCCACCTAGAATTTAACATCATTAACAAAGAATATCTTTCATATATCATTAAGAAGAGTAAATAGATCAACAATGTTTTTTTTTGTTTTGTTTTGTTTTTGCAAAAGGGACACATCATGATGTATCTTATTTTTAAATAAAAACAGAACATTTAATTTTACTTGAATTTAACTGAAAAGAAATTAGAGAGTGGAAAACTGCTGAATTTACATATATATATTTTTACTACAAAAAAAACCCTTAATGTTACAATTATGTAATGTACAAAAAGGTTGGAATGTTTTTAAAAGAAACTATATGCTTCAAATTTTCAAAGTACTGAGTCCTTGCTCTAAAAATAAGGAAACTGGTGCACTATACTTCCCTGTATCTTGACCTCTTAACCTCATAATTTTGGTGAATTCTGTTAATTTCACATTTTCAAGACTTATGCTTGTATTCTATCCCATAGCCATAATTCCCATAGTTATTTACTCTTATATCTGTATTACATGGATTCCTTATCATGGTACCTTTACCAAACTTCTCCCTTACTGATATTTTGTTTTTGTTTTTCCTATCTTGGTTTGTTTTATTTCATCAATAGTTCTCCTTCCCTAAGAATACCTCATGTAAGCCACATTCCTAGAGAATGCCTGTTGCCTTTGATTCTGATTTCCAGTAGGTTTTAAGAGGCTGTTTCTAGGAAGTTTTGAGGCTTTTGAATTTGTAGCTTAATGTCTTTCATTAGCTTTGTAAAATTCCCAGCCATTTTCTCTTCACATAACTTTTTTTTTCTTTCTCTTTTCTCCCTTTGAGATTCCAATCACACATGAATTAGACCTCTAGTGGTAACTCCTATGCTATTCATACTTTTTTGTTTCCTATCTTTTGTCTCTCTATGCATTATTCTGGATATTTCCTTTTGAGATATCTTCCAGTTCATGATTATCTTTAGCTCAGTATAATCTGCTCTTTAATTAGTCCACTAAATTCTTAAGTTTGAATACTACATCATTCAGTTGTATATTTTCAATTGTTTTATTCTTTATAGTTTTCAGTTCTATTTCCTTGAACAGATTTGTAGCATTTGTCTACATACTCCATGAGTATTTTTAAATTATCTGTATTTTTCTCCTTCTTTTAAAAATCATGCCTTGTCTCTTCATAACTGGTTATTTTTCTGATTCAGTAATAGACAATAAATATGAAGCATCACAGAAATTATTTGTGTGCAGCCCCCCCCCCCAAGAGTATTTAAAATTGCTTTTGTTGAACAGTTAGGGACTCTAGCATCTAGGATCAGTTTAATCCAATTTTAAGGACTAAGAGGATTTGAAACTGAATTTCAGTTCTTTCAAGGTCCAATTGACTTCCAGTTCACCTGTACTCCATAAAAGATTATCAAAAGTTCTGTTTTCTTTCTCAGTTGCCTTCTCTGGAATTAATTGGCAATTGGCAGTTACAAATGCTAAGGTAACCTCTCTGGGTTTCCTTCTTCTCCCAGATATTTTTCACTGCCTTACTAGCTTTTTAATGTTTTCAAATAGCTATTAATAAAAACACATTTTTCCTAGATTTTCTAATTGTTCTTAGTGGGATGGTTAGTCCAAGTTATTGCCTGCCATTACTAAAGCTGAAGTCCTGATTCGTATATACTTTAATTTGATGTCAATATTAGCATCCAGGAAGACTCCATTCTGTGTTCCTTCCACTCTTTGTTATCTTGGCAAGATACCTGTCTTTCATCTGCTTCACAGATGATCATGGAGTGCTTTCATAGTAGTGCCTTCACTAAATGTAGTTCTTCATTCAGGGTACCTATACCATGAGAACAAATCATATGAGACATGGTCTGGCTAGATGGGACAAAGAAAGAAAATCTGATGAAGGTATTAGAGTGTAAGAGAAATAACACTATAGAAGGAGTGATTTTTGAGAATACAATGGAGAACAGGCTTTTATGGAAAGAGATCAATATTATCAAATACTGCAGAGATAAGGTACATCAAGAGGGAGGTTAGGATACTGGGTCTTGTAATTAAGGGGTGATCATTGTGCTTACTTTAGCAGAACATTCACTAAAATTCAAATGATACCGACAAGATTGCCATGGCCCCTGTGCAAGGATGACATGCAAATTTGTGAAATGTTCCATTAAAAATTAAGGTCACCATTAATCCTTAAGAGAATAGTTTCTATAGATAGTATACTAGATTGGATAAATAAAAGACAGGAGAGGAGTCAGAGGTAGTGTAGACTTAAAGAAGGCAAGTTATGAAAGAAAACAGAATGATGGGTGTGGTAAGGAAGACAGAGCCAAGGAGAGATTTTAGTCCTTGTTTGCTTTTAGCCTAGGGCACTTTTGAGTATGTTTGGCAGCAGAGAACAGATTAAAGACTGGAGGGGCAAGCAAAATTAATTGAACTAAGTCCCAGAGAAAATAAAAAGGAGCAAGGTTACTCTCTCTACTGAGATATAGGAGTACAAAATAGAGATAACGGACAAGATTTATAAATACTGAGATGAAGATAAAGAGATGGGAATTACATGGATTCAGTTCTGTAGTATCTATTTCTATGGTGCTATTAAAAAGGTCATCAACTCGTTCTCAGTGTAAATAGTTCCCTTACCTTTCACTAGCTATTTTCCCCTTTAATATCTGCAACACACATAGTTAGTCCTTCTCATTGGCATTGGAGCCCTTTAGTATCATCTCATTACCTTTAGTGTGAAGAAGTAGGGAGCTTCTTTAATACTCCCATAGCAATCTTCTCTTATTTCACAAAGTACTCATTTTCCTTACTTCCCTCAAAATGTATTCTGAAGAATCTTAATATAAGGACCAAGTAGTTTGGCTACTTACTGATATGTAAGTGTAGGAGGACAAATACTTCCTTCCACTTCAATGAATGTCACATAACTTTAGGAACTAGTTCCTTTTTTCCCATTTTGTTTTCTTATAAATGGAAACTCCACAAGAGAAATGACTGTGTTTTATATGCCCTGTCAATGTATTGCAAACATTGGGGGTATTACATAAATAATAAATGGGAATAAAGTGTCCAAATAATAAAACTGACTATAACCCAGTCAATTGCTGCTAGTAATGCAGAGGCTGAACTTAAAATTACCAAGAATAAAGCACACACATCCTTAATCATGATGTCCAGAAATGTGAGTTACATTTTGGCAATTATAACTTTCAGTTAACTCATAAATATTTATTGACTATTTCCTATTTGGTTCATAGAAACCTGATGAGAAAGTACCAATATTATCCTCATCTTAAAGTGAAATAAATGAGGGTTCAGGAGATTAAAGAGCATGCCCAAATTTGTATATTCAGCTAATATATGCGGACCTTGAATTCAAACTTGTTTTTCTGAATCCAAAGTCAATGATGTTACTATCAATGCAATACAGCCTCCTCCCCAATTTAACACTTATTATAGTTGGATGATAATTTTTTCCTTTGAAAGAATAAGAAATCATAGTATTTATCATAACAAATTCTAACCCTGTACAAGGCAGAAAAGTATATTGTCCAAAGCATTAAGGATGGAGTTTATTGGATAGAAGCAATTATTCAAGAATAAGAAATGGAAAATGTCCTGTCGCTTGATTGCACCTTTGTATTTTAGTGCCTGGGCAATGATATATTTAATAGGGCATATGCTAGGGGCACCTGGGTGGCTCAGTTAAGCGCCGGACTTCAGCTCAGGTCATGATCTCATGGTTCATAAGTTTGAGCCCTGCATGGGGCTCTGTGCTGACAGCTCACAGCCTGGAGCCTGCTTCTGATTCTGTCTCCCTCTCTCTCTGCTCCTCTGCTCACACTCTGTCTCTGTCTCTCAAAAATAAATAAATGTTGAAATAAAATTTAATAGGGCATATGCTAATGGTAGAAAATTTGTTCAGTATTTAATGTAAAGAATTGCTTCAGGATATGTGACATTACCAAAGAGGTAAACTTCTACTTTGCATATGAGAGTATTAAATTTTATTCTTTATTTTATTGTCCAACAATTTTGGTAGATTATGTAAGAAAAGAGTGAGATGGCCAAAAAGTCTGCAAAGAATTTTAAGGGCTATTTAACTAACAGGCATTATGAACTATCAGTATTGCATCTTAAGTAATTTATTCTATTCAACTTTTTAATGCTTCAGGAAATTTACACTGTAACTACACTTATAAAAATAATTTATATATATTTAAACTTTCTCTTAGTATTCCTGCAGATCATGCTGTGTGTTACCAAACATTAGTTGGAAATAGTAGCTATAAACAGATGAAATTTGAGAAAATAATACAAAAATAGTTATGCTTGTTATACAATCCAGCCTCTTTAGAATATGACACTGATTTTTACAAACCATGCTTCATTCAACATTGAACATATGGCATTGTGGTTCTAAGAAAAATATATCTCTGATCAAGATTTCTATCACTCAATTTATATTTACGAAGCACTTGGCAAAATTCCCTTTTATTCTTTATTGCTTACTTCTTTCATTTAAAGAATGTTGCTTTCATGTACACAGACATACACAAATCTATTAGATTAAGGCAGCAATCACAAAAACTCAGTAGAAAAGTAGCTCAATTAAAATTACACAATTTGACCATATGCAATTTTATTTAATTCTTAGCCATTACAGAAATCCTAACATGTAGGGCTTAGTTTGTAAGAGTATATGATAATGTTGCCTAATATTTCTTTATCTATAGTAAATTTGAAACATAACGTCACCACAGTTGGTATAAGAAATTCACATACCAATGTGAACAGAAAAGGGAAAGGGAAAGAACTTAAAAACAAGAACAAGTCAAAATCTTCAATGTTTAATGTTATCCTCTTGCTCTATAAGTAAGGCAAATTCAAATTCGTTTAGGCCAAGGCCTCACTGAAGGGGCTGTCTTGTTATCTGTTAGAATAAACTAAATATTCTATACACATGTGCAAATGACCTTAAATAAACCTAAAATTAAAAGTTTTGAAAGAATAAAAACAAAAAAAAAACTGGTAAGGGATTAATATCCAAAATATATAAAGAACTTACAGAATTAAACACCAAAACAAACAATCCAATTAAGAAATGGAGAGGACCTGAATACACGTTTTTCCAAAGAAGATATATGGATGGTCAACAGATACAAGAAAAAATGCTCTGCATCATTAATCATTAGGGAAATGCAAATCAAAATCACAATGAGATATCACCTTATCTCTGTCAGAATGTCTAGTATCAAAAAGGCAAGAAATAACTGTTGGTGAGGATGTGGAGAAAAGGAAACACTCATGCACTGCTGGTGGGAATGTAAACTGGTGTAAACACTGTGGAAAATAGTACGGAGTTTCTTCAAAAAATTAAAATAGAATTGCAACACAACCCAGTAATTCCATGACTGGGTATTTACTCCCTCAAAAGTATATATATGCACCCTTATGTTTATAGCAGCATTATTTACAATAGCCAAGTTATGGAAGCAACCAGTGTTTCATCAATAGATGAATGGATAAAGAAGATATGGTATATACATACAACGGAATATTACTCAGCCATAAAAAAAGTCAAATCATGACATTTCTGAAAATATGGCTGGAAATAAAGGGTATTATTCTAAGTGAAATAAGCCAAAGACAAATAACATATAATCTCAATTTTATATGGAATCTAAAAACCAACCAAAAAAACCAAAACAACAACAACGAACGCAGAAACAGAATCATAAGTACAGAGGACAAATTAGGTGATTCCCAGAGGGTAGGGAATTAAGGGGATGAGTAAGAAAGGCAAAGGAGATCACCAGGTACAGACTTAAAGTTATAAAATAAGTAAGTCACAGGAATGAAAACTACAGTGTAGGAAATATAGTCCATAATATTATAATAATGTTGTAAAGTGACAGTAGCTATACTTACTGTGGTGAGCAAGTGTAATGTATAGAATTGCTGAATCACTATGTGGTAAACCTGAAATTAATATAACATTGTATGTTAACTATACTTCAGTTAAAAACAGTAAAAGAAATAGTACCTTATATTTATTATTTTAATGGATAGTACAGTATGAAATAAAACTAAAAAAAGGACAGAATGAGAATTATTTTGATTTCTTCCTAAATAGCTTTAAAAAAGTTTATTTATTTAAGTAATCTCTGCACCTTATATGAGGCTCAAAGTCATGACCCCAAGATCAAGAATCAAGAGCCACATGCTCTTCCAACTGAGCCAGCCAGGTGCTCCCAAAATAGTCAGCTTTTAATACATACTATGTAATGAATATACATATCTATATTAAATGAATAAAAGTGCTGATACAAATGTTTATTTGTACAATTATATGTACATTTTGAATTTTCCATTAAGAACGATCTCTTACTGTTTGAATAAGAGATTTAAAATAAAATTAAAATTATTTTTTATTTTTATTTTTTTTTTAATTTTTTTTTAATATTTTATTTATTTCTAGGAGAGAGAGAGAGAGACAGTGTGAGCAGGGGAGGGTCAGAGAGAGAGGGAGTCACAGACTGAAATAGGCTCCAGGCTCTGAGCTGCCAGTCAGCACAGAGCCCGATGCGGGGCTCGAACCCACGAACCGCGAGATCATGACCTAAGAGAAAGTTGGACGCTTAACCGACTAAGCCACCCAGGCGCCCCTAAAATTATTTTTTAGAAGTCTGCAGTGTAGAGGCATCATTATTGCTGCTTATTTAAAAACAAAAATCAGAGAGAAGAACTTTATAAACCTCTGAACATATGTATTACTAGCATTGCCTAAAGAAAATATGATTTTCAAATGCTTACAAGTGAATTTTAAGAGATATAAAAAACCTACTTAGGCATACTGTATTCTCTCATGAATTATTGGTTTTAACAGTAAACAGATCAATATAAATTACTTTAAGCACAAATCATATATCATATATTACATGATATAGAAAAGAGATATAGATATAATTCATGTCTCTCATAAGACCCTAGAAACTCCAAAGAGAAGACTATATAGTAATATACAGTTTTTAAAACAAAATGAAGAAAAAAATCCAAAACCCAGAAGAGGGAAGATGGAGGGGAAGTAGGGAGCTCCATACATTTCACTCGCCCCCATCTCTCAAAGGGAGACGGCCTGAAGCCATGAGTAACCTTACAGAATCCA